TTAAAATAGCTTTTCCTCTCCTTCCGCCCCTGGATCACAGGCTCAGGGAAGCTCCCAGCCCTGCTCCTGGGATGAGCCACCATTGTCATCTTCATCCCTTGAGCCCTGCTCTAAGAGTGACAACAGCAAACCCCTGCCAGAGCGATCTCCCAGCAAGGAAAATCCTGATATAAATGCTCTCCACAAAGGGACTGTGCTTCTTCCATGGCCCAGCCATTAGAAGCTATTTTTACCTGCTTCCACACGCACAGATGGGCCAGAAACAATCCAACTCAGCACCCGTTATGCTTTGCCCAAAAGATTTGCTCCCTGCTTTTGCTGAGCTGCCAAAAGAGTTGCAAAAGAGCAGGTAGAAGTGGGTAAGTGATGGCCGGGCAGCTGCCGGAGCGTGCTGCGAGCAGCGCTGGGGATGACAATAGAGAGATGGAGAAGAGTTATTCATGTTTCCCCGAGAGCCCAGATCAGTTGAAACATCCTTTTCCTTGGGGACGGTGAGGAAAGAGCTCCCTTCAAACACATCATCCCGTGAGACTCATTAAAGGCTCATCAATTACAGTGAGAGCAAACAATTAGGAAGGCTCTGAGAAGCCTTCCTCCGGCCGGCAGTCATTAGCGGCTCTCCCGAGCTGCCTCTCCCCAGCAGAAAGGGAACAGGGGGGAAAAGCCAAGCCCAGGGGTGGAAAGGCAGGGGAGTGATGGCTTGGAACCCAGCAGGATGGGACCAGCAGTCTCCAGAGCATTCCTGTGGCCGTGCAGAGCATCCTTGTGGAGAGGAGCGTGCAGGCTGGGCTGGAGGGGCTTGCAGGGGAGGTGGTGGCCTTCTTCTGCTCCATGTCCATCAGTGTTGTCTCATGGGAGCTGGGCAAGAGTCACAAGGAGATGGAGCAGCTCTCTAGTGTCACTGCATTGGGTCTGAGGTGGTGCCAGCACCCCAAGGCTGCCCCATCCCTGCAGGAAGGGAGATGGATGAGGAGATGCTCCTTGCCTTTCTCTGCCTCGCTTCCCTGCTCTGCAAGTGGGGTTGAGGACAGAAAAGGGGTTTTAAAACAAGTAAGAATCCTTGGAAATAAAACAAAGGGCTGGGATGGCTTTTTAAAATTACTTCAAAAGTCATTATTAATGAAAGCTCAGGGAAAGGGGCTGTTTTCCCACTCCCAGCACAGAGGGAGGTTTGCTGCAGGTTTGCTGCACTCACCCCCTTCCTGTGTGTGGGCATCTCCTTCCCTCACACGTGGGCTTGGCACCAGGCACCTCTCCAGCAGCTCACTGCTGTGACCTCCAGGATGCTGACATGGAGAATTGCAGAAAAGTGTTCTTTATGGCTGAAAAAAAAAGGACACTTTCCTGTAAACTTTCCTCCGTGATGTTCCCTGGTGGAGGCATTGGCAGCATCAGAACCACACTGCACCACTCTGAAGAAAGCTGGATGACCTGCACTGAAATAAACTCATAAATAGCCCTTTGTGCAAACTGTAACATCTTGGGGCACACATTGCTCCGACCACTCCTGCTGGGAGCAGTGTGAGCCAGTTTTTGTTGGATGCCAAGTGCAGGGCTGTGACCTCCTGCCAGCCTGGGGCAGGGTGGGTGCTGCAGGTCCTGCTGGGGCTGCTCCCCACCCCTGCTGACCCTACACAGGCTCTGAATGCACAGTCAGCACAGCCTTGACCCACGAGCCAGAGAGGAGAAACACTCCCAGCTCCCCAGATCTCCTCCAGAGCCAGAGAGACCATATTGCAACCAGCACTTTGCTGGAGCAGCCCCGGGGCTGGAGCAGGGCCACGGCTCCCTTCTGCAGGACACAGAGCAGGTGTCTGCCCCGCTGCTGATTTTTAAGCCTCATTGCTAAGTAGCTCCTAACCTTTCCCTTCATCCTCTCCTTCCTGCGTGGCTGGGAGCCGAGGAGGATGAGCAGAGCGAGCAGGAGGAGCAGCTCCCACCCAGGGGACTGGGCTAATGCCATTTACTCCAGTCTCCACCAGCTGAGTCTTGGCTGGGGAAAGGCAGGCACAGACCATCGGCGTGTCCTTGGGCTGTGGGCCCAGAGGAGGAGGCACAGGAGCCTGAGGAAGGGGTTCAAGCTGATCTACTGAAGGCCAGGATGCAGAAACCTCTGCCCAAAATGGGGCTGGCTGAGGGTGCTTGGCTGTTCACCATTAAATAATGCAGCCTGATTGATTGGGCTGGAAAGTGCTGTGCTGCGGGGTCAGCCTGCTGGGGTTACAGTTCCCTGCTTAGATTGATGATCCTCAAAGGTCGAATTCAGAAAGCAATTCCCTGGTAAAATTGATCCTTCGGATAACAAAACTTTTGTACAGTGGCAAAGGGCCTAGCAGTGAGAAAAATCAGTGACCCGGGCACAGGCAGGCAAGGTGAACACTGCCTCTGCTTCCTCTTGACTCAATTTGCCTTGTTTACACCCGTTAGGAAGTGAGAAGCATGGGAAGAGCAGTGCTGTATCCCACCTGGCTGGGGGACATCCATGAAGAGAAGTGCTCTATCCCACCCGGCTGGGGGACATCCATGAGGAGCAGTGCTCTATCCCACCCGGCTGGGGGACATCCATGAGCTCCCTCCCTGTCCCCACTGGGCAGGAGGCAGCTGGGCAGTCCCAGGAGCTGGTGCTGGGCCCCCAGCCCTCCCCAGCAGCAAGGGAGCAGTGTGTGTGGAGGAGCAGATCCTTGTGACCCTCCTGCACACAGCTGTGCCTCAGCAAGGCCAGGTCCCACTGTGGGGAGGAGGATTTGTAGCTGGAGCCAAATTAGTGGTGAATGGGTTTCACCCATCTGCACTGGGAGCCAGAAACAGCCCAAAATGTCTGCTCAGCTCCTGCCAGGAGCAAGGATGTGCCACACGTGGAGGGGGTTGGTCGAGAATGCCTCAGGCCACCTCGGGGACCAGGTGGTGGCCACCCAGGGCTGATGTCCCTGCTGTGACTGGTCCGTGACTCACAGGGTCAAACACTGGAGCCAAGAACCACCCTCCACCTCATCCCAAACTTCAGGGAAAATGAGAGCTGTGACAATCCCTTCCATCCTTGCACTCACTCCCCTGGATCTCCTAAATCCCCCTAGGATGCTGAGGCTGTGCCCTGGAGCTGCCCCATCAGAGCAGGAGGGAGGAGAGCTGCAGCTCCTGGAGCTGTTACCCTGCTCAGGCAGGGCCCAGAGCAGCAGTGGTGAGGCTTTGACCTGCTTTAACCTGCTTTACCACACCATCTTTGCCTGCTTTGCTCCGTCTGCTGGTTTTGAAGCGAGAGAAGGAGGCCACGCCGTGTGGACACTGAATAATTCAGAGCCTGGCTCCGCAGCGCCCGGGGCTGGGCAGCGCCTGTGCCACAGGGCTGGGGCAGCTCAGCCAAACCCTTCCTCACCAGAGCCAAAGGGGACATGCAGCATCTGAAATGCAGCATCCCTGCTGCCTGTAGGCACCAGCCAAAGCCACTTCCTTCCCCTGGATCTGGGCTGAGCAGTCCCAGAGCAGCAGGGCTGTTGGTGCTGTCAGCCGTGACGCGGCGTCTCCAGCCCTCGCTCCCAAAGTGGAGCACGCTGAGCGTGTTTGTCTCTGCTCCCTGGGCCATGTTTTCTTCTTTCCTCCCTTTTAGAGGCTGCAAAATTCCCTCCTCTGCTTGTTCAGACACAGGGCAGGGTTGTAAGACGGGGAGAGATTGTTCATCCAGATTATGCTGAGCCTCTGAGCGGGGTTTGCTAGAATTAAGGACAGGGAGGGGAGGGAGAGGAAACAGAGAAATCATACATGAGGTCAGCTTATCCAGCCATGCGTGAGGAGAGCATGGCAAAGGCGGCCTCAGTGGGTCAGGCAGGTGGCTGGGGAGCTTCTCTGGGGGCTCCAAGGGAGAGGGAAGAGGCACCAGGAGCAGGGGCATGTACCAGCACCCAGACTCCCAGCTCCAGCCTAATACAGGCTGTTTATCCCAGTGCAGACAGAGCACAAGGAGCAGCAGGCCATGTCTCCTCTGTTTAATTCCCTCAGCTCTGCATCTCCTGAGCCCTGTAAAAGGAAGTGCTGCCCCATCAGACTTCTCCACCCCTGCACAGAAGGCACAGCATTACTGTTTTCTAATGCTTCTGCTTCTGAGAGTGTAAATTATTGCACAAAGCAGGGAAAACCGTCAGGCTGGGCTAGGGATCGGCTGTCTGGAATGAAATGAGATGTTTTGGTCCCCAAAGTCTCTGTCTGATGGCCTCAGCTCGGGCCCAGGAGTCACCAGAGCCACGTGTGAGTTATGGGCTCAGGCTCTGCGCTCTGCACAAGTCACCTCCGGAGCCTGAGCAACAGGAATTATTGTGCACAGAGATAATTATTCCCTGCATACTGCACTACAGCTCATTAAAAGTTTCTTAATGTTTGCAAATTGCTGAACAGCGTTTTTAGTTGTTGCCTGCTCTGATGAGGCGGGGACTAGCTGGTGGATGCTGGTGGTGGCTTGTTTTCTGTGTTATTTTGGTCACAGCAAGCTGGGGCTGTGCTGCACAGAGGGAGGAGGGTTTGTGCTGGGCAGCCTCACTCCACGGGAGAAAATGCTGCTGGTTTTGGCACAATGCACAGGGGACAAGGACTGAGTGCCACCAGGGTTAGCCCAGTCCCTCCATCCCAAGCCAGACTGCCTCCAAGTCACAGCCTCCATCTGAGGTAATTACCCAGATTCCTGTAACAGCCTGACATGTGAGGGACTCCTTCCTGGTGTCTCAGCTGCAGATGTTGACTTGCCATTAAGCAGTCTGTGCTCCTCAGTCAGATGGTGGGAGTGAAGTGTCTCATCTTGGACGAGAGGCTGCAGATCTGCCCCGGGTGAGGAGGTGGGCATTGAACCCCAGCACCAGATACCTGGGGAAAACTGCTGAGTTCAGTGAGAAAAACCTGCAGGAGAAGCAGGGATGGGGTGACCAGCCCAGCCTTAGCACATTTTCAGCACTAGACTGGAAGCAAGCAGGAGCAGCAGCAACACCTGACAGCTCTTCCCCGTCTTCTTCCTCCAGGTGTAAATGCAACCTCCACGCCAACCTGTGCACCTTCAAAGAGGGCAGCCTCCAGTGCGAGTGTGAGCACAACACCACGGGCCAGGACTGTGGCAAGTGCAAGAAGAACTTTCGCTCCAGGTCCTGGCGAGCAGGGTCCTACCTGCCCCTGCCCAACGGGTCCCCCAATGCATGTAAGTAACCTGCAGGGAGCCAGCCCTGCCCTGGGCTGCAGCACGCCCACAGAGGGGAGGGGATGCTCATTTGATCCTTCTCCAGCTCCAATCAGTGCAGGATGCTCAGCTTTCAAAAGGGAAATGGGTTCTTACTCTGCCTTAGTACACAGAGAAATGAAAGAGGATCTGGTGGATGCAGAGGTGATGTGCTGGGCTGGCAGAGGAGTGGTGAATCTAAATGATGGTCAAGAACAGGGATGATGACCTTAGGCCAAGATACAACCACGGCTTCAGGGCAATGCCAGTTATTGTCCTTTGACAAAGGCGTTATTGAGCATGGTGCCCAGCAGCCATGGGGCTCTGGGCTGGCCCTGCTCACCTGCAGGAGTGCTGGCTCCTCCCTGGATCCAGTCTGTGCTTGCTGCTGTCCCCTGCACAGCCCCAGCCTCCTCCACTTGCTGCTGGAACGCATCTCTGACAGTGGCAGTGCACAAAGGAGATGCAGGATGCATTCCCACCATGTTCCAAACAGGGAATTGGGGCAGGAGACGCCACAGATGGGCAGGTTCCTCCTGGGCTCCTGTCCACCCCACATTAGCAAACTTGTTTAAATGTCACAAAGCCACAGTAGCCACTCCAGCCTTTCAAGCAGCAGCTTTGAGCATTACCAAAGAGAATCTTTTCTCTCCCTCCCCCCAAATTTTTTGAAAGATTTATGTGCTTTAAGATGATCAAAGCTGAAATTCAGGCTCCCAAGGCCGTGACGGGAATGTTTTGTGTGTGCCAGGGCTGGTAGACGAGCAGGTTCTTTGAAAGGGAACGAGCTTGTCAGCTCCCACCAAGCGGCTGCATTGCTTCAAAGGAGCCTGGGAGAGTTTCTGGTGCTGACAGGCACAGACATGCTGTTCTCTCTCTTTCCCTCCCCTCCATTCCTTGTGTCTCTTTCTATTTCCCTTTTTCCTCTCCTCTTCCTTCTCCCATTCATCTCTCTTCCCATCTGTCATTCAGTCTTCTTCCTCCTCCCCACATCAACATCCTCTTCCTCTGCCCCAGAGGCAGCTCTCTGAAGCCCTCTGCTCTTGGTAGTCCTGCCTCTTCCATCACTGTGCTTTATATTCACACAGAGCTGAGACTTTCCATGATCCACCCATGTGTTACAGCAGGGAGGCCCTTGGGTATGTTTAAAAACAGACTGGACAAGGCACTCAGTGCCATGGTTTAGTTGGTGAGGAGGTGTTAGCTCATAGGTTGGACTTGATGATCTTAAAGGTCTTTTTCAGCCTAGTTCATTCTGTGATTGTTCAGACCCTACGGCTTGTCCTCAGCCCAGTGCTCCTTTGTGCTTGTCCTTTGCTGGGCTGTCACAGCAGCCCAAGGAAATGGTTAACAAAACCCATCAGCAAGGACCACGCTGGTTTTCCTTCCCCAGGTGAAAGGCTTGAGATGCCAGGAGCCCAGACAGCGTTGTCTGGCTGTTTCTGTGCTTTGACAAAAGCAGCTTTTAAGCTGTAGCAGCAAACTGATGTGCCTGTGAGCAAGCCCCAGCTAATTAACTGCTGCTCAGTCCCATGTCGTGTGTCTGTGTGATCTTCTGATGGTGTCCTGCTTCCAGTGACTGGGCTTCCTCTTGTTTTTTCCAGGTGCAGCTGCAGGCTCAGCCTTTGGCAGTAAGTAAAACCCTGACTGAAATGCTGGCATTTAACACCTCGGTGCATGATCCTTGTGGATGTCACTAGGAAAAAAAATATGGTTATTTTCTATCCATTATCATTTTCCAGGCAATAAGTCTTCCCTAATTGTGCCTCGTTTTCTGTCCTGTCAAAGAGTCTTATATTTTCTTCCTCTGACTCCAGCAGCCTCATTTTGCCTCTTCCTCTGGCATGGTTTCCCCCCATGAGGTTCGTTAGTATGGCAGCCGGAAAGGAAATAAAAAAAGACTCTTCAAAATCACCAGTGCTGGCTGTGAACTCCCCCCCGCAGCCCCCCAGTACTGCAGAATTCTGCTCTGAGAAGGAGCTGGGTGTGAATTATTTGGCGTAGAACCCAGTCTGGGTCACCTTGGGCTATCAATAAAAAAGCATCTAGAGTGTGTGTACATCTGTATGTACACGTGTATGCATATGAACAAATGTCTGTGAGGTGTCAGCAGCAAAGGCAGAGCTCAGAAGGGATTTCTGCTGCAAGATTGATGGCAGGAGAGGGCTGCTTATTTAACAAAGCTGGAGGTAGTTTGATATCAAAGAGCCTGGAGTTTTGGGTAAGCAGAAGCCTGGGTTTGAATGCTGTGGTGCAGAGTGCCCCTCCAGAAGAAACAAATCAGGGAGCTGAATGAATAATGAGTTCTTTGGTTTGCAGGCAAGTGGGAAGAATTGGAGGAGGAATCGTTTCAGGGAAATGCAAATGCAATTAAGAAAAATGCACCTAGTAGAAAAATAGAGGACAGGTTTTCTGGGTAAATGAACCATATTTAGATTTTTAGCAGTTAATTACTTGAAATTTTCAAATAAAAATTAAAGGTCTCCCTTAAATAATTCAGGATTTTTAAGAAATAAATGTTTCAACAGCTCAAAATATTCTTCACCTTTGTCTTCAAAACCATTTTGATAACTTTTTTCCCTCCCATTTACAAAGCTTGGCAACCTCAGCACTACTTTTGTTTCCCTGGAAGCCGGGAGGGTGCTGGGAGCGATGTGCAGGAGGAGGACAGGAGGGATTTATGTCCAAGGCCAGTTAAGGAGAGATTATTTAGCCCACATAGGAGACTAGAAGTGACCTAAATTAAGTATTTAAACTAGCTCAGGGCTATTATGAAATTAAGCACGATAATCTGCATGAAGCAGTGGGACAAACAAGGACAGGAGGGCAGCAGGTGTAAGTTAAGCAGGAATTTGTGTCCCAGTGTTATTTCAGTCGGGGTTGTTGTGGGGAGAAGTGGGGTGGGATCACTCCTGGCTCCACGGGGGCTCTGCTGACCCCCAGCCATCCCAAAATTTGAAGGGTGCCACTGGAAACAAACATGTGCCAGTGGTCCTGGTTGGGTTTGATGGTGCCAGGTAATTTGGGGAGGGGTGGCAGCAGGGAATTGGAGCACGACTGGGCATGTGGGCACCGGGCAGTGGGAGCCCAGCTTGGCCTGGGGGCTCCTTGGCATCTCCTGCCCGCTCCTCACCCATCCCTGCCCAGACGTGCCTTCATCTCCCCCTTTCAGCTTAATTGGCAATTAGTTTATGATGGAGCTGTAAGTATTTAAGCCAATATCTGCACCAACAGAGTAAGCTGATCCAGCCCCAGCCTGCAGCCCCTGCTCACACACACACACACACCCCCTCGCTGCGGGCAGCCTCATCGAGCCGCCGTCGCCTTAATCCCGCCAGTGTCCCAGTTGTGACAGTGCTGAGAAATCAGTCACCAGTTCAGGCCAGCCTCACGGGTGTGCAGGCTGGCATGGAAACCCACCATGCCCCCAGGAAGTGCCTCCCAACTCTTCTCTTTGCTTGTCAGCGTACGAGCGACCGCAGCGAGTAAACGCCGCAAAAACCACCACCGCAAAAACCACCACTGCAAAAACCACCACCACCACCTCAGCCACCACCTCAGCCACCACCTCAACCACCAGCACCAGCAGCAGCACCCCCCTACCAGCCACCACCACACAGCCAGGTGGGTGCCACGCTCCCTGCCCCGCTCAGGGGCCAGGGCTCTGCTCCCAGGCTCCTCTCAGCTGCTGTGTCGGTGGCCGTGGATCTCTGCTCTCTAGGATGATAAAGGGACATGGATAAAAATCACCCTGGCTCTGTTCACTTTCCACCAGGCAGCCCTGGTTTGCTGTTGTCTCTGGCACAGCTGCCAGAGATGCTCTCACAGCTCCGTGACAAGCAGGGCGGGAAGGCAATGAAGAGTTTTTTGATCCATAATAAATTTAAGCCAGGTATTTCTCTGGAAGGAAAGGGGAATTGCACCCCATCTTGCTCTATCCCTGACCTCCTGCCACTTGCCACCAGACTCAGAGCAGCCCACAGGTTTTGCTCTGTCCTTGCTGGTTGTCCCAGTCCTGCACCAAATCCCTGTGGCCAAACCCATGGATGTACTGCAGGTGCAGTTTTCCTGTTGCAGGATTCCAGAATTCCCCAGGTGGTTCCTGTCCAAGCAGCCTGGGAGCGTGCAGGGCTGGAGCTCACACACGTGCCAGAAACATCCTTTCCTAATTTCTGAAATCTCCCAGTGGAGGAAAACTTTTGTCCTTTTTCTGGGGGTTCCTCCTTCCCTCCTCCCCTGAACAAGGAGACAGCGTTTCTCCTTGTCTTTTGGAAATGAGCAGATAAAACTTAACAGCAGGACATTTTTTTAAGCTGTTCATGGGGGAATTAGACACGCATTCCTCCCTTTGCCATGCTTTCAGGGCCTGATATTTCCCAGGAGGACGTTTTACACCCACAGCATGTTAGTAACAGTCTGTCTGGGGGAGCTGCCAGAAGCCAGTCAAAGGGATGAGGAAGCTTGATTGCATGTTTATGCAAATATAGATATATTCATGGAAGTACCCTGCTTGAGGAGTTAATCAGGGAGCTGAGGGTTTAAGTCCAACTTCCATGGAGTTGGAGTGACCCTATAAAAAGAGTGCAAGGCTCAGCTTTCTTAGGAAGAGCTCCTTACCCAGATCCATGCTGCACCTCTTTAGGAGGAGGTGAGCATGGAGCTCACCCATCCCCACAGCCCCAGCAGGGCCAGGTGATCACATCTACATCCACACAATCCACTGGGGCTGATCTGATTTTTATCCATGCTCACCTGTAGTGACATTTTAGGGCTATTTTTTTGCTGTGTTTGTGTGGGTAGCTGCTTGGTGTGTCTCTTGTATAACTTGCAGTGCTCTGCCTTTGTGGCACCTCTGGCACAGGCAGGACAGTGTCTCTGGGGAGTCAGGGTGCTGGGGGTAACCTCTCCTGCCAGCCTGCTCTGAGGGACCTGAGAGACATCACAGGGTTTATTCCTTCTCCAAAACCTGCTTCCTGGGCAGAGAAAATGTTTTCCTAATGCTTTCATTAACTGATGGCAAGGGACAAAATTAATAAATTGCTGCCCAGCTGCCAGGTTGTTGGCTTTCTACAGCTAGGCCTGAGTTCCTTGCTCCTCACCCCATCCAGATCCCCATCTGTGCTTCTGCAGAGCCAGGTCCCACCCCAGGATGGTGTCCCTGGAGGGGCTGCTCCACAGAAGAGGGCAGCCAGGGCCAGCAGCAGCTCAAGGACCTGCTCTTACCTGGGCAGCATGAGGGGCTTGATGCCAAAGTCGACTCTGTGCCCCTGACCAGCAACAGGGAATCAAAGCACAGCTTAATTCTGATCTGCTTTTGGCCAGAGATGCTCCTCCTCCATGAAAAACAGAAAGAATTTCTTTAAAACTATGGCATTCCCAAGGGCCTGCAGATCTAATTCACCTGGGCCCCAAGGGAAACACTTTGTGAAAGAGGTGACCCCTTGAAGTCCTGGTAGATCACATTTGCAAGAGGTGACCCCCAAGCAGGGTCAGAATCCCAAAGTGAGATACTCTGTTGTAACCCCCACTTCTAATTTTAGGAGCTTTAAAATCCCTCCTTGCTCTAAAGCCAGACATTTAAACCAGTCCTGCCAGAGCCCTGCCCCATCCCTGCGCTGTTTCACCCTCTAACTGACACACTATCTTCTACCCTCTGAATTTCTGCTTCCCACCATAAGCAAGCATCATCAGACCAGCCTCTGAGTTTGCTGCCTCAGTGCCCGTGACAGAAGCACAGAAAAAGCCAGGTATTTAAAGGCAGCCCGGCGTGTTTTTCCCCTCTCCTCGGTGCCTCCGCACAGCAGTGGGTAGCAGCTCGGCAGAAGCAGCGTGGCACGTAGGCTAGAGGAGTGGATTAGATTTGGGTTGTCTCTGGGTTGCATGGAGCTGCTAGACATCTGCTTCCTTTGGCTGCTCGTGGTGTTTTCGTGGTCAAGGTGGAGCTGTGGTCGTGCTCGTAGGATGCTTTCTGTGCCTGGTGTGCGATGAGAGGGGAGAGAGGGAGGAGTTCACGGGCAAGGGATGGGGTCTGCAGGCAGTGGAAGCTGCCAAAGGGGGTAGAAGGAAGAGAAATCACAGAGTTACCCTTAGGAGGATGAATTAAGTGCTATTCTCCTTTGCCTTCTGCAGTTTTGCTATTTCAAAGCCTTCCTTGAAGCCTGTCAACTTCTTCCTTGACATTTGTTCGATTTTTTTCCCATGTTCAAAATAAGCAGGGAAAAAAAAACCCCAAAAAACCCCAAACTTTTCCTTTTTAATTTTTTTTTTCCTGCTTTAATTTTCCTCCCTTAAGTTCACAGCAGTCTCAGCAGTGCCAGTTCACCTCTAGTTAAAACAGGACCAGTCTGAGCCCTGCTGGGTGGTCACAAGCTCCAGCAGAAATTGAGCACAGCCTGGCTTTGGGGAGGTCCTGCAGGAAAGGGATCCCTGAGAAGGACTTTTCCAGGCTGCTCCCCCACTCCTCCAGTGTTGTTTGCCCCAGTGGTTTTTGCTATGAAATGTGACTTCTTGGTTCAATTTATTCCACTTCCTCAGAAGGCCACCAAGAACAGCAATTTCCATCACAGCTGCCCATCGTTTCCCATTTTTATGAAGTGGGTCTGGGGCAAAATGTGTCTCTCTCCCCCTCCCAAAATATAAAACTGTCCATTATGGCCCAGAGCTACAAAGGGAAAGGTTCTCAAGATAATGAGCATTAATAATTTTCTTGGCTCTGTAAATGCGATTGAGTGGAGGTGTATGTGAATGACTAAAAAGCAAAATGCCTCCAGGGCTGTTTTTTATTGTGACTCTAATTAAACCCTTGCCAATTTGCACAGGGATTTTTTCATATTCTCTTTAACACCGTATTAATATCAATTGGTTTCCACTTTCCAGCTGAAAAGGACAATGTCTATCACCTTCTCTTAGAGCTTGTCATTAAAAAAATAATCTTTTTTTTTCCTTTTTTATTCTGTATTGTTTATCATCCCCTTGATGAAGCTGGGAAATCACATTTCTCTCCTACTCGGGTTTGTCCTTTGAAACTTGGCAAGAATCAAGAGTGGTTTTTTTTTTTCCTCCTCCTCCTTATGTTACCCAACTGGAGCTTGAAATTAATAATACGGCTCTTAAAATTTTTAGTCCCCGGTTTGTTTTCTAGCAAACCTGAAGATTGTTACCAATATTGAGAAGCAGGGGAGGGGGATGGAGCCAGAGGGGGTGAGGGCTTGCAAGGGAAACCAAACAAGTGAGCTATACAATTTCTTGCTGGTTCAACTTCTCTGCGGTGGTTGGAAATCCTTAGATTTGTATTTCTGAGGGAACAGCAGAGCCTGAAGGAGGGCGTGGGGGCTGGGATTGGAAACCAGGGCTCGGTGCCTCCATCCCAGGTGTGTGTGCTGTTTCTCAGCCGTTGTTTCAGAGCAGAGGGCTGCAGGGCAGTGGCTCAGATGTGAGCACAGGGCAGCTCAGCACACGCTGCCCTTCACAGCTCAAGGGCTCTGGTGACCCCCGTGGCACAGGGCTGGGTGTTGGATTTGGGGCTCTGACTCCCTGTGGGAATGCTGCAGGGCTTTTGTGGCATACCAGCTCCCCCATTAACACAATTTTCCCTTTGATCGCTGCAAGACTACCCCAGCTTGTCAGCGGCTGCCCCGCTGCAGGTGGGCTCTCCCCCGGCCAAGGCTGGCCCAGGAGCACAAGGTAGGAGCCACGGGGTCCTGCCAGTTAGATTCCTGCTTTAGTTTCTAGCTCTGCACCTGTGTTTTCCATGCCTCTCTCCTCCTGCTGCCCAGCAAGGAGCTCAGGGCTCGTCTGTGCCCTGCCCGCAGCTGGGCCCAGCCTCGGGGCTCAGCCGTGTACGTGACAGATGAGGAGCGTGAGTGGGAGAAGGGATTGTTCACAGCTTGCTGCTGGTGTGAGCAGAGAGGATCATGGAAATCCTGTCATCTCCCGAGGCTGGAGCCTGTTTGTAGAGCAGAATCTCCCTGTGAGTGATAGGCCTGTGTGGCTCAGAGCACAGATCCTTCTAATGCATTTCCTGCCTCAGTCTCCTCCATGACTGCCTGAGGTGCTCCGGGTGGGAGCCTTGGGAGGTTTCTCTCTGGCTGTTGAGGCTGAAGCTTCTCCTCCTCAGGGTTCCCACCACACACAGGCTTTGGTAGCTGCCCTTGGTGCTCAGCTCCCTTTTCCCACCTGAGATTCCTGCAGCTCACTCCAGCCGTAGCCTTTAGCATCCACCCTGTGCAGATCACGGCATCCTGGGCGTGTGTGGGCTCACAGAGAGGCAAAGCTGCTTTTGCTGCAATAACAAGGGATAGAGCTACACCAAGGGGCCAGGAGTGCTGACAGCCCTGACAGTGCTCTGCAGATCTGGCCTCTCTCCGTGCCTGGGCAGTGTCAGGAGCACATGCCAACACTCAGCCGTCCAGCAGCTCCCACACCTTCCCCTTAGGAATGCTTCTCCTGCCTCTCTTCACACTTAGAGACGCTAACTTTGAGGAGACTTTGTCTCATCTTCCTGCTCCAGCACATCCTCTACCAGATACAGCTCCAGTGACGCAGCCTAGACACCTGCCTAGAGCTTCCAGTGTCCCTTTGCCACCCTGTTAAACAAACCAGGGGGATCTGTTTTAAATCTGATGTTCTCTCTGATGCCACCTGCGATGACCCACCAAACACAGCAGCACTTGGAGAGAAGCCAAAGCCACCAGAGCCTCCCGAGAGCATGCGAGGTAAGGCCAGGCCTGCCCCAGGCTGGGACAGGGCAGGTTTCTCCCTCAGTGCAACAGGCCAGGACACCCAGCTGTCCTCAGCACAACCCTCATGGTACAATATCCTACTCAGAGGGTTCAGCTCAGCTCTGCTCTGCTCATCCAGCCCCAGGGAGGCCTTTTTGGGATGTTTGGGGCCAAGGAAAGCCATGGAGACCAGCAGGGCCCTGGTACCACAGCAGCTTCAGGGATGGTGTTTGGGGCAGGAGCTGCACTCTGACCATGGCTGAGCCCATGGGGAGCAGGGCCACCTCCTGCCACCACTGTCACTGTGAGGATGTGGCTGACACAGGTGGCTGGAGCTGGCCATCCTGCACTTGCAAGGGCATAAACTCCACAAAAAATCCAATGGAATGAGAACCCACTTCCAAACACCCCCTGGGACCTCAGTGCTGCTCAACCCAGCTCCTCACTGGGCTCAAGAAAGCACAAAACCTCCCAAGGCTTGGAGGCCTTCTGTGTGGGTCTGGCTGGCAGCACAACCCCCAGGGAGCCCCATTCCAGCTGGGAGAGCCCTTTATCCTGAGGAAACATGGGAAACATGGCCCTGGGAGCCCCCTCCCCAGCACATCTCTCAGACCTCTTCTATCCTCTAGCGGCTCCGAAGAGCAAACCAGGGCGCACAGCACACTCTGCAGGCAAGAAGCACAAGAAAAAGACAGGTACGTGCTGCTGGGGAAGGGCCAGGCTGGAGCAGCACCTGCTCTGCAGGACCCTGTAGCAACCCCTGCCAGATGCCACCTCCGTAGCACTTGTCCTCCTCACAGATTTTTGGGCGCCAGCTGGCCTGCCCTCTGTGGCCAGTAGAAAATGGTTTGTAAGGTGTAGATCCTTATCCCAAACCACACCACCAAGCACCCATAAAGGGGGCACATGAGAGTAGCTGCTCCCAGCTCTGCAGCAGAGTTATTTAGTTCTCCATGCATTGAGTTTTTCATGCATCAAACTTTGAGGAGGGGAGGGGAAGAGGAGAAATGTAGCAGCTGCCAGGTGTCTGCTGCAGAAATGGATGCCAGTGCTGCCAGCACGGTGCTCTTGGCATTGTTCTCGTGGCAGGGGAGGACACGGGGTGCTGCTAAGCTGGGAGAAAAAGCCTTTCTCTGATTTTTCTCAAGCATCCTCAAAGAGCTCAAAACTCATCCGGCTCAAACCAAACTCTGGCCCAGTGGCTCCCATTGAAACATACAAAGGTAAGCGGAGGGAGGGAGGTGCTCCAGGGCTCCCTGAGCTCACTCAGGTGATGTGCTCCTGCAGACTCAGACATGGAGAAGGTGGGAGGGTCTGTCTGAGTAGTGGTTAGCTGTTGGCTGTGTGTAGCAGTGCTTCCCTAGTCTGAAACAACACCTGGGAATTGCAGCAGGCTGAAATTCTTTAGATATCAGTTGATGAAGCAGAAGTTACTTCACAAGAGACTCTCAGCTCCTCCTCAGGCAGCTGTGAACCATGGGGAAACCTCTGCCCTGCTCCTTCTTCCCTGGTCATCATGTCATTGATCACATCTCCTCCTCCAGTTGCATGTGCATGCCAACCCACACCCTTCCCTGCCATCCTTGAATGTTTAATGTTCTGCTTGGAGCAAAGCCGCAGCTCCAAAGGCTCTGAAAGCTCAGACCTGGCTGAGGCTCTTTCTGCTCACGTTATCCCCTGCCCTTGCTGGCTGGGAACCTCCTGACCAGGCCAGCTGGGCCACAAGTCCATTTCTCCTGAGCTGCACATCTCACTATATAAACTCCCATATCTATAAACTCCCAGTAAGATCCAGCATTTGCATCTGACACTTCAAGACTGTCACCAACCCAAGCCATAGTAACAAAAAGCAAACACAAGAAGCACAAAATCCAATCCCCCTGACTACAAATTCACCCACAGATTGTTCTCTAACACATGCCCACAGCTGAGAGAGGTCAGCCCTGGGGACAGGAGCATTTGGCCAAGTGATGGTGGCATCTCCCACCCCACCAGCAGCCTTTGCAGGCTGTGCTGTGCCAGGCAAGCCCTGGTTCAAACCTCCACACACCTGTCCACCAGCTGTTGAAGGGTCCCACACAAGCCACACTGCCTTGCATAGGCTTATTTTAAACATTTAACCTGAGAGCCAGCACCCTCCACAACAGGAAGGGGCTGAGAAGGGATACAGAGGGGAAAAGGAGAGGCTGTGAAGTTCACCTGGACACGCAGCAGCTCCATCTCCACTAGAACACCCTCTGCCAGCCCATCCCACAGGCCAGTCCCCTCTGTTCTTTGCCAGGGCTCCTCACAGTCCTGCAGCCCCCCCAGAGCCAAACCAGGCTCTGCTCATTAACAAGGCAGCTCTGTAATTAACATCTGACTCCCCTCCACTGCCTGCTCCCATAATTATTCCGTTTCTGAAAGAAATCATGTCCCAGGATTGCAAGGGGCTGGCTCCTGCCTGTCCACACCCCAAGATTACCGGGACCCTGACCCTGCTCTGCTCTCTGAGCGATGATTTCCAGCCTGATCCCCCCGTGGTGGTGGAGAACTGTGAGCACTCCTCCTGCCCAGCGCCCCCAGCCCTGCTCTGGCAGTGGCCATGGCATCCCCTCCAGCAGGACCCTCCTGCACAGAGGCTCCTCTCCTCCTCCCACGAGGAAAAGCACTCCATCCGCATGTCCCCAGCTGTCCCCTCCTCTCCCCCGCAGACTGCGAGTGCTACGGCCACTCCAACCGCTGCAGCTACATCGACTTCCTGAACGTGGTGACCTGCGTGAGCTGCAAGCACAACACGCGGGGCCAGCACTGCCAGCACTGCCGCCTGGGCTTCTACCGCAACAGCTCCGCCGAGCTGGACGACGAGAATGTCTGCATAGGTGAGCACAGAGTGTCTGTGAGTGTCTGCATAGGTGAGCACAGAGTGTCTGTGAGTGTCTGCATAGGTGAGCACAGAGTGCCTGTGAGTGTCTGTGTAGGTGAGCACAGAGAATGTCTGCATAGGTGAGCACAGAGTGCCTGTGAGTGTCTGCATAGGTGAGCACAGAGTGTCTGTGTCTGCATAGGTGAGCACGGAGAATGTCTGTGTAGATGAGCACAGAGAGTGTCTGCATAGGTGAGCACAGTGTCTGTGAGTGCCTGCATAGGTGAGCATGGAGAATGTCTGCATAGGTGAGCACAGAGTGTCTGTGAGTGTCTGTGTGAGCACAGAGAATGTCTGCATAGGTGAGCATGGAGGATGTCTGCATAGGGAGCACAGAGTGTCTGTGAGTGTCTGCACAGGTCAGCACAGACTGTCTGCATAGGTGAGCACAGAGTTTCTGCATAGGTGAGCATGGAGGATGTCTGCATAGGGAGCACAGAGTGTTTGTGAGTGTCTGCACAGGTGAGCACAGACTGTGTCTGCATAGGTGAGCACAGAGAGTGTCTGTGTAGGTGAGCACAGGACATGTCTGCATAGGTGAGCATGGAGAGTGTTTGTGTAGGTGAGCACAGAGAATATCTGTGTAGGTGAGCACGGAGAGTGTCTGTGAGTGTCTGCATAGGTGAGCACAGGAAATGTCTGTAGGTGAGCACAGGGAATGTCTGTGTAGGTGAGCACAGGACATGTCTGCATAGGTGAGCATGGAGAGTGTTTGTGTAGGTGAGCACAGAGAATATCTGTGTAGGTGAGCACGGAGAGTGTCTGTGAGTGTTTGCATAGGTAAGCATGGAGAATGCCAGCATAGGCGAGCACAGGAAATATCTGCATAGGTGAGCACAGAGTGTCTGTGTAGGTGAGCACAGGAAATGTCTGTGTAGGTGAGCACAGAGAATGTCTGTGTAGGTGAGCATGGCCCCAGCTGGGTTCTCTCTCTGTGAGTGGGCCTCGTTCAGCCCCTCTCTGGAGGGTGTGGGGCCCACCTGCATGCTCTGCAAGGATGGCAGCTGGTACAGTCTGTGCAGCCTGCCAAGGCATCTCTTCCCTGAAAACAAAGCTTAAAAATTAGAATCACAGTTTGGGTTGAAAACTGTCTAGTTCCACCCCCTGCCATGGGCAGGGATACCTTCCACTATCCCAGGTTGCTCCAAGCCCCATCCAACCTGGCCTTGGACTCTTCCAGGGATCCAGGAGCAGCCACAGCTTCTCTGGGCAAACCATGCCAGGGCCTCTCCACCCTCACAGTAAAAAGCCTTTGTGACTGAATTCAGATGCCTTGCTCAGCCAGGAAGGGCTCAGCTCCAAAGAGGGGTGGCCCTCGCACCCGTGGCTGTTTGCACTGTTGGGCCTCTTAGGCCAGCGTGTCCTCCCCGCCCCCTGGTCTCTAAGCTCTCCTCAACAGCACATCTCCAGACCTCCCCAAAGCCCTCCCTCAGGGAGGGAACCCCAGGCAGGACAGGCTCTGACCTCCCTGTCTTTGGCCAGAATGTAACTGCAACCAGATCGGCTCCATGCACGACCGCTGCAACGAGACCGGCTACTGTGAGTGCAGGGAAGGCGCCACGGGGCCCAAGTGCGACGACTGCCTCCCCAACTACTACTGGAGACAGGGCTGCTTCCGTGAGTACCGGGGCCAGGGAGCTGAGAGATGCCTCCAAACAGGAGCAGCAGCTCCAGCACTGTTGGCTTGGGTGCCCCCATGATGCTCGGGGTGCAGGGTGAGCAGATTCCAGCCATTCTTCCCAAATACAAAATTACTTTATAGCTTTGGCCATGGAGTTTGCACCCCTCCACTGCATTCTGCTGGCCTTGGAACTGCTCTAGTCTTGTATTTGTGGGGTTCTCAATCAAACAAAGGAAGGAAGGATGAATCTGACTCCATGTTCTTAGAAGGCTAATTTATTATTTTATTATCTATATTATATTAAAGAATACTATGCTGAAACTATACTAAAGTATACTAAAGAATACAGAAAGGATACAGACAGAAGGCTAAAAGATACTACTGAAAATCTCATGACTCTCTCCAGAGCCTCGACACAGCTGGCTGTGATTGGCCAATAAGCAAAAACAATTCACATGAAACCAATGAAACAATCACCTGTTGGTAAACAGTGTCCAAACACATTCCAAAGCAGCAAAACACATGAAAAGCAAATCAGATAATTATCATTTTCATTTTTCTCTGAGGCTTCTCAGCTTCCCAGGAGACAAATCCTGGGCAAGGGGATTTTTCAGAAAATATGACGGTGACACTCTAGCGCCGGGAGGGCTGGATAATTTAACCCCTAGGAGCTAAAATCTAGTTCCCGCAGCAGCCAAGGGGTTTAACCCTGCAGGGTAACACCTGCACCTCTCCCTGTCACCCTGCAGCCAATGTCTGCGACGACGAGCTCCTGCTCTGCCAGAACGGCGGCACCTGCTACCAGAACCAGCGCTGCATCTGCCCCGTGGGCTTCAAGGGCGTGCTGTGCCAGCAGTCCAGGTGTGAAGTGGACAAAAAGGACTGTGACGGTGCCCCCGGTGCCGGTGGCAGCCTGGCCGCCGTGGCGCTGGGGCTGCTCGCCCTGCAGCTGCCAGGCTGGGTGGATCTCTGAGGCTGCACAGCCCGAGGGACATGGGGACACCGAGGTGACGGGTGGCCGTCCCCACCGCCTCCTCCGCCTTCCTTCACGCTAGGACTTGCACGACGTCTTTCGGGCCACTTTCCAAGCAGAGAGGTACGCAGGGAGCTGAGCGCTGCCCGCGGAGCCAGCCCGGGGTGCCCGCTGGGGACACGGGGACATCAGCAGCCTGTGGGGACACGGCCCGTCCCTGCGCACAGGGACTCTGTCCTGCTCCGCACAGGGCGGCCCGGGCTCCGGGCAAAACAGTGCCGCGATCCGAGGGATGGTTTTTTTTTATTATTCCTTTATTTACTTTGGTATAGGCTGGGGTGTTGTTTTTATTTTCCCTCCTCTTAGCGTCCTGGTTTGGAAGAGCCGGTGATGACAAGAGCAGAGCCCCAGCACACAGCAGGCAGGGGACAGGAGGGAGGGGAGAGGGGACTCTGGTCCATCCCTGCTGCATAGCCCCACATCCCACCACAGGCCTGGCCTGGCCACGCACATACTGTTGCCTACGACTGTAGTTGCTGCATTGATTTTGTATTTTCATGGCTGGGTTTTCTTTTCTTGCACTTATGGAGAGCACAGGGGCCGCGAGGCGTTTGGAACTTGAGGAGTGCAGTGTCTTATCCACACATGTCCGTATGGTGTACGGGTCAAATTCTTTTGGTAGAGACTTATTTTTGTTTGGATTAAATGTTATAACAGAACCACGACCTAAAGGGACATTTTATCATGAGCATTTGATTCTGGTGTATCCTCCTCCAGTAAAGCAACTATTAATGGCTGCTTGATCACCACGTTTTCCTTTTTGTGTGCACAGTTAATTACAGGTAAAGACTTATTTTTTGATTCATAATGTCCTCTTGTGTTTTCTGAGTCACTACCAAGGTGCACCACATGGTGAGGGAGAGGGGAGGGAGAGAGAGGTTGCCTCATCACTGAGAGCTGTTAATTATTTCTCCTAATTACTTTGCTGAGCCTAGGTTAGACTACTAACTGTAGACAATGAGCAAAGTCTGAGTGATATATTAAGCACTGGTCTTGTGTGAAAAGGCCATTTCCAAATGAGCCTGCAGCAGGAAAAGGCTGGCTAGTGCAGGGATGCTTCTCCACGGGGACCTCAGCTGTCCCAACCCCACTGCAGCCCCCTCCAGCTGGTGCCATGATGCACCTTTGCAGAAAATGCTGTATTTTAAAGCAACCACAGCCAGTATTTTTAAGCAGTAGTATAGAGCTCACAGGGATTATATGAACTCATTAAGGCTCATCAACATGCTCCTGTCTGAGGAGGAATTTACAGCCAAGCACATAAATGAAGACAGGAGAAACCAGAGACAAGAAGTAACTCAGTCAGCTCAATGGGAATGTCATAAATACAGGAGCCCTAGTGTGGTTATAACCAAACATTTACCAAGCCAGGAGATGACTGAGTGCAGCTTTAGAAGATGGGGGACACCCCCAGCTCCAGTTTGTTCGGTTCTAGGCTGGTTTCTTTGACAGGTGAGCAGCCTTGGTCCCAGTCCCAGTTCTGTGACACTCCCAGAGCCAGCCCAGGAGCCCCACACAACCCAGGCTTCAGCCCCACTGCCATTTCCAGGTCTGGTGTCCTTGCCTGAGTGGAGCTCCTCTCTGAGAGCTCCTCTGTCAACATCTGCTCTGTTCCAGCACCTTCTCTCCATGGCCATGTCCCTGCAGCCCATCCCTGCAGGGATGCCAGGAGCAGCCCAGGTTTCAAAAGTGCATGAACCCAGAGCATCTTCCAGCCCTAACTCTGGATATGAGCACTCAGTCAGTGCCACCAAAACCCAGCCACCTCCACGGAGAGGGGACAGCAAGTCCGGCTTTGGAAAAGGAGAGAAAACCCTGAGTGAAGGTGCAGGATGGATATTGTCACTTCAAAGAGCAACACTCATTGTGAGCAGGATTTAACATCACAGAGGCAGAGCACAGGGCTTAGTTAATCCACCAGAAGGTAAAAGAGGGTTCAATTCACCCTGATTTGATCCTTGAGGCAGCGGGCTGGCCCCAGCATTGCCTCCCTGGCTTCAGCACAGTTGGTTGCTCTCTGTTGGACACTCACTCTTTTCTTTGTGCTTTCTGACTGCAGCAGACCTTAAATATGTTACAGTTCTTACAAGTAATAGCAAAGACTGTAACAAGATCAAGATCTCTAATGGCACTTCTGGAGGGTGAAGCAACATTCTCCTTTGCCTGCACAACTGTTTTTCTCTAGAATATTAGATTAAGCAACAGAAAATTTACTACTTCATAAAGCCAGCCAAACTCTGCACCCAGCAGATTCCCTGCAAATACACACTTTTATTGCAGGAACGTGCCAAGCAGCAGCACCAAATTCCTGTAGAAAATAACCTCAGAAGGGAACAGCAAAGCTCAGACCAGTCCAGGAATGAAGGCTGCTGAAAAATACACTCGACCTTTCTAGGTTTGGGGCTTTGCTCTTGCTTGGTTGGGTATTGGCTGTTTGGCTTTGGGGTTTTAGAGTCACAGAATATTCACATGTGCTGTAGAACTTGGAATCACACAATGCAAGCCACTGCAAGGCAGAAGAGAAAATCTCTCGCACAAAACTTATACTTAGTATTCAAGAAAACAATTTAAAGCTTCTGAGAGATTCAGCACTGAAGACCCATTAACTGCAGACATCTGGTAGCAGGGTGTCTGCACAAAGAGAACAGAGCATCATTAAAACAACGCAGAGAAACCATCACTGCAAGTACCCACAGATCCCAAAGTTCACCTTTAAGGCAGAAGTTTTGTACATCAGTTATTGCTTCCAAATGGGAGAAGTTGTCCAATGAGCTTGATACTTTACTTGTGGAAAGGTTACCCAAAAGGTACTTCTCTTTCTGAGAAAAGCCACTTATGCTCTTTCAAGAGGTTCCATGTGCATCCTGTCACCAGCATTTGATTAGTTTGGAAAAGTTTTTAAATTACACTTCTGTCTGCAAAAAGTGACCTCTCCAAACAGCACAAGTAGAGAGTTTGATTTTTCTTGTTTACCTCAAATTCTGCTCTGATTTTAACTATTCAGAGTTCTGACAAATCTAAACAACCAAAAGCCCCAAGGCAACAAAAACCTTCCTGATGCACATTTGCTCACTTGCCAGGTAAAATATTAAAGATACAGTTCCTGGGAGCTGGAGACAGGAGGGGGAAAGAATTCCACTGGCAGTTCCCAGGTATGTTATTTGTTTTTTTAAAGATGAGGCAGCAGACATCTCATCTGCAAGTGATTCGTGAGGAGCCCTGCAGAGGCTGGAGGAGTGAGAGAACCAACACTTTTTAATGGGAATAAAATGGTCTCACTGCCCTGTTCTGCTCTGTAATTTGCTTTCATGAGAAGCCTCAAATGTAAATAAAACAAAGTATAAAGGAAGAGCTGAGTGTTCTTGCTCAGAAATAAGAGCAGAGTTGGGTTTTGAAGAGCTTTATATCCACAGCTTCTCAGCCCTTCTGGCTGGGAGCTGGAGACTTTGGCCACAATCACACAGAAAATGGCTAAAAATCACATCCTGATTTGAGGTGCAAAGAAAAGCTTCAGGCCCTCCTGAAGGTTCCTTTGGCTTTTTGGTTCTGGAGGTGTTGTAACAACTTTCACTGCAAGGTGAAAGGTGTGAGGAAAGCCTAAACCCACCCATTTTCACCACAAAACTGCCAGCAACACCAGGCTCCAAAAGCTCCGTCCTGACCCCACTCTGTGTCACTCCAGGGGTTAAAATAGAGGGAAAACTGATGGGATTGCTCTGTAGCTCCATCCTGACCACCCTCTGTGTCACTCTAGGGGTTAAAATAGAGGGAAAACTGATGGGATTGCTCTGTAGCTCCATCCTGACCACCCTCTGTGTCACTCCAGGGGTTAAAATAGAGGGGAAACTGATGGGGCTTCTCAAAGGGAGTTCTTGCTTCAGGCCACAGTGAAATCAGTAGCAACATTGCAGAGCTGCACCAGGCTATAAAATCAGGTTTCCTATGTTTTCCCAATACCAGATGTAATGTGCTCTCAGACCACCTTCATTTCTATCATGCTTTTCCTGGGAGTTGGTGGCAAATTAGCCAAGGGCTGAGCAGCAGACAGGTACATATGGCCAGGAGGTCTCATGGCAGTGATTTTCAATGTACAAGGCTGCTTAGCTTACATTTATTTGCACTAAAGAATAAGGCACTGGGCTCCTTTCCAAGCAGCTTAAAAAGACAAGAAAGGAGACCCATTGTGGCAAGAGACTGTATTATATCATTAACATTATAAATTCCATTTACAATCCAGCAGTCATTTCATCCATCATTTATTCATGCACAATGGAGAGAGTATCCTGCAGTTTTAGGACCATGGTTCTCCTCCATGGGGCTGCTGTGAATGAAGAGCCCAGCTCCAGTTTTGGCTACTCTGGTCTCTGCCTTCTCACCATGCTTCAGAGACTGCCAAAAAGCAAAAGTCATCTCTGGAATTACTGGGGTTCCATGTTATTTTTCAGATGTTGTCTGGGAATGCTGTTGCAGTCACAAGTTCTGTGTTCATCTGGAAGCTCAGGCTGCTCTGTGCTTCTCCCCAGGAGTGCTGCAGGGGTGGGGGCTATTCCCATTCCATGGATTAGCAGAAGTGCCTTGCCAGCCTGCAGCCCTGGCTCCCAGCTCCTGTGCCACCATTCATTAGACCCAGCTGCTAATTAGCTGCTGCTCCAGGAGACAGCACTGTAAGAACTCATGGTCCCACCATGAGCGAGTGGAGACTGGCAGGAAGGAGAGGCTGATGTCCCTCATGTCCCCACAGCAGCCTGGCACAGCTCCTGTGAAAGCCAAGCACAGTCCAGTGGCACCTCCAGCTCTCAGCACCCCTTGGTCCCACCAGCAAGGAGCCAACGCTTCCCTTCCTGCACTTGCCAGAGCAGATAATAAACTGATAAATAAACAGAACTGCTGGTTTCCCCCTGGTGCCCCACAGACAGCCCAGAGCAGCTGGGAAAGCAGCACAGGGCACAGTGACCCAGAGGTAAGGCACACAGGCTAGACAAGTAGCTGCTGTGCTCTCACATCATGATTGGGAGCAATGACATGGAAAACAACTACAGCAAACCTTAAAGGAAAAATAAATAACCAGTCATACCCCACCTTTACTGCAAAGCCTATTTTGTGTACAAAAAATAAATTAAAAAAAACCTCCACACTCTGAAAACCCTGAACAAAATGTAGTGCAGCTCTTAGAAGAGACTTTCCCTCCTTCCCAAGAACACAGAGGGGACTGGCTTTGCACTGAGAATTCAGCTCCAAGCTTGGAAGCAGCATGGAAGCCTCTCTATAAAAACCTAGATACTGCTTCTTCCAAAGGGTTTTGGCACAACCTCCAATAAAGTGTTTTACATAAAGTTGTAGTGTTTCTTTACTGACTTTTCTAACTTTAACACTCAGTAACCACTGAAAAGCCTCCTCCAAGGACCACCAGCTCTGAGGAGTTATAAATTACTACAGCAAGTCTCTACTCACAGCTTACACACTGACTGCCCATCACTGCTCAGTGCTTTGTACCACACAGTGAGAACGGCAAAGAATTTATGAAAATTGTACCTGATCTGTTTGCTCCTCATTGCAGATCTGAGTCAGTGAGAAGTGTGCTTTGGATTGGATTTTGCTTGGTTTTCCATGTTACAGGTATAGACAACAGGAGAAGGTAAAGCTACAAACCTACTCTGAGTGGTTTGTGAAGAGGGAAAAGTGTTGTAAGTGCAATAACCCAAGATTTTTTTATTGACAAATACAGGACTGATGATACAGACTGCCATGGCAGCAATAACCTGCTGCTGAAGACTGACAACTTAAGTCAGATAAATCTAGTATTAAACC